CTTCAGAAAGATCCCTGCCCCCACTTGCCTCTTCCCCCCACAAAAAACACATAATATAGGGGCGTTAATAATTAGAATAGGGTTTTGGGGGTTATTCTAGTATAATTACAAGGCCAAAATCCCTAAACCCTAAGACCCCTAACCCCTCAAACTTTGAATGCCTATAGATCCCCCAACCCAACGAACCCTAAGAACCCGAACAACCTGAGAATCCTAAACCTTGAATCCTACTATATGTTTAGGCTTGGGCTTCGGGTTTACGTATAAACCCTTTAGATCTTAAACCCTAAAATGCCCCGAATAACAACGCCGATGGAGGTCACGGGGACAGACCTAACCCCTAGTGAAAACCCTAAACCCTAAACGCCAAGACCTAAACCCTAAAACCTAGACCTAACCCCTATAAAACCTAGACCCTAGACCCTAAAACCCTAAGCCCTTTTTTACCAAAGCTTTGCGCCCTCTCGAGCTCTGTTTAGATAAGTTCTTGGAGCTGAGCACACGCTGACATTCCGTCTGTCCTCTGCAAAGCCTCCCTGTTTTGTAGGCGGCAAGGCCCCTGACTTTCGGTAAGCTACCAGAAAAGGAAGTTTGGGATTCATAAGGTAGGGCTTAGGGTCTAACATGGGGGTCGGAACCTTTAGAATTATACTATGCTAACCGACAAAACCCCATTCTAATTATTCAGGCCCCTAATAGTAGGCCCTAAACCCTAAACCCTAAACCCTAAACCCTAAACTCTATACCCTAAACCCTAAACCCTAAACCCCGAAACCTGAACCCTAAACCCTAAACCCCCAACCCCCACCTCAGGCCCCTCTACTAGGCATTCTGAGGCCAGGTTGTCGGCTCGCCCATCGAAAGAACTTGGGCTCCAGGCAATCAGGGGTGCCTGCGCCGCTGCAGGGTTAGGGTTTAGGGTTTCGGGTTTCGGGTTTAGGGTTTCGGGTTTAGGGTTTAGGTTTAGGGTTTAGGGCTTAGGGCTTGGGGTTTAGGGTTTAGGGTTTAGGGTTTAGGGTTTAGGGTTTAGGGTTTAGGGTTTAGGGCTTAGGGTAGGGGTGGTGGGAGCTTCGGAAGGTACAAAGGGCTTACCTGTTTTGTATGGGGTTATGCCTAGTATTTGCGAGGGTACTCGTTGCTACTAAGCTGTAGGTAGTTGGGGTTACACGTAATTAGGGGGCTTGTGAGGTTTAGGGGGTGTAGGGTTTATAGCGTTTATGGGACAACTCTGTCGAAGCTAAACGTGGAAGTGTCCTCATTTTTAGGACCGTACCCTCCCGCACAAGAAATCCCACCCCTCAACATCAATTTCTGAATTTCGCCCCACCCCAGGGTTTAGGGTTTAGGGTTTAGGGTTTAGGGTTTAAGTTTTAGGGTTTAGGGTTTAGGGTTTAGGGACCCCCCCGCTTCAAATAAGAAATCCAGCCCATCAATGTCTTAAGATCAAGCAGTCTACCCTTCAATTTCTAGGTCTTGGGCGGGGCGGGATTCGAGATAGAAACCGCCAGATTTTGAAGTCAATGACTGTTAGCAGCATGCTACAGAATCGCTTCTCCCCCCCGCATCAAAGTTTCCGAAGGTCAATTTGCATACTATTTTGGAGAGGGCCACCACGAATCGAAAGCCGAGTCGCATCCACAACCTTAAGCCTAAACCGTACAGGCCCCATAATTAAGCCATCCGAAACCCTGAATCCTATCAAGTTCATGGTACTTATTAACCATGTATAACTGTGCTTATAACTGTACTTATAACCATATTAGGGCACTTAGGGGGCTTCTAAGTGGGTTATAAGAACAGTTACAAGTGGTTCATCAGTACCATGAACCTCCGAGTAGTTCAGACCCTCAACTTGCCTTGTAATGCAACGAGAAAGACAGGGCCCAGCAGATCACGCTGAAGATCGTCCAGGGCCTAAGCCCTATAGACCCATCCTTTGGGGATATTAAGGGTTTATAGGGCTTGTAGGGTTTATAGGGTTTAAAAGGGCTTACAGCCCTAAACCCCTAAACCAAAAATATGCCAAACCGAAAAGTCCTAAAGAAATACAACTGGAATTCTTCGCTGAGCGGAGGGCTTCGCAGAGTTGGTTCGGTTTAGGCAGCCCCAAACCCTAAACCCTACACCCTGACACCCTACATTCTAAACCCTAAACCCTAAACCCTACACCCTAAACCCTAAACCCTAAACCCTAAACCCGTGTCTGGCTTGAGGGTTTCACGCGATTCCAGACTCGATTCGCCCCGCTAAGCCCCTCCAGAATTTTGCATGAATGTGACATACATGGGGTTTCCGAACTGAGGGGCACCCTTGTATCTCTATAAACCCACTGAGGCAGAGTATGCTGTAAAGGGGGTTTCCGAAATTAGGGGCGCCTTATTAGGTCCTGATTTTCAGGGGATCCTACTACTTGGGGGTTTATTTTAAGGGTGCCCTCTTTTCGCAAACCCCCATATGGGTATGTAGGCCGTAGGCTTCGAAGGCTCTAGGGGACCTCAACCCTTATATAATCCTGAGAAGGTTGTGGAGGATGTGCCTCTTTGATGTTCTTTGGGGTCTGTCAAGTACTGTCAAGCTTAAGGCTTGTAGGGTCCCAAGAACGCAAGATCATTTCCCTCCAGCCAACCCCCCGAAAACCTCTCACCTGCTTACCCTACACCCCAAACCCTCCAAAACACCCTAAGGGTTTAGGGTTTAGGGTTTAGGGTTTAGGGTTTAGGGCTTAGGGTTTAGGGTTTAGGGTTTTGGGTTTAGCGGGCTTAAGCCCTACACCCCAAAGCCCAAAGCCCAAAGCCCTGGCTCAGGGCGTGGCAGCAGGAGATTCAAGAGCACGGCCAGGGCATTCAGATTCAACCGCCGCTGCCTCACGGTGATGGCATGTCAGGCCTTAGCCTAAAGCCTGGTTGGGGCTCTTAGGGTTTAGGGTTTAGGGTTTAGGGTTTAGGGTTTAGGGTTTAGGGTTTAGGGGATACAACCCTAAGTCGTCTCAATTGAACCCTCTTCTTCTGGAGCCCTCCAGCTTTGTTTTGCGGGCATCCTACTTGCCCCCCAACAGCCCCCAAAGCCACCCAAGCCCCCCCAACCCTGAACCCTAAACCGCACAAAGCCCGTAAGCTCCACGCTTCTGGGGTGCGCCAGAAAGTCCCAGAAATTCCTGGCGAGCGCTCGAGGGGCATATGGTTTAGGGGGCTCGAGGACTGTTGCTGGGGGGATTCGGGCCTTAAGTCCGTCTGAGGGTCTGAGGAGTCTGGTTTTGTGTCCGGAAGTCCTCGTGCCTGGGGCCTTCGAGCTCCAGGCTTAGGGTTCGAGAGTTAGAAACCTAAACCCTAAACCCTAAACCCTAAACCCTAAACCCTAAACCCTAATCTGGGGCTTTAAGAGTCTTGGGGGCTTAGGGTTCTTTACGAGGTTAGGGTTTCGGGTTATCAAGGCCGAAGCCCGAAACCCTGAATCCCAAACCGCGGGACTGCTGACTACTCATGGATGCTCACAAGGCCTTCAGTCACACTAAACCCTAAAGCCTAAAGCCTCAACCCTAAACCCTGGACGCTGGACCCTGGACTCTAGACCCTACCCCCGAACACTGTAAGCTGCAAACCGTTACGCACGGCTCTGCTTTTGAGGGCAAAAAGCCGCCCTAAACTAAACCGCTCTAAACCCCATAATCCCTGAGGTGTAACCCCTATAACCCCCAACAAGTCCTGTTAACTTTAAAACGCCGTGTAACGTGTAACCCCCTATAAGAAATATACTACAGTAGCCCAAAATCAACGAAGAAACAAGCCCATTTTAGAAACCCTCAACGCCTAAACCCTAACTCCCCCCTACCCCTCTCCCCCTGCCTGGCCCTTGCCGGCCTTAGGAAACACATCGGCCCCTTTTGAATGTAGTTATCGGAGAATTGGAGATATGAGCTTTGGCTCACACAGAGGCCTTAGGGGAGGCCTCGGATGTCACAAGGGTTCACTCTTGAAAGGGCTCGACTCCCCAGGCGCAACAACAAGAAACAGGAAGACATGACAAGAAGACTGCTTGGGTGGTTGCTTCTTCTGTTCAGAGGGGGGGGAGGTAGGGAAGCGGCTTCGTGAGCGTAGCTGGTTGCTATGGAAATACTGGTATTACTAAGCCTACTGTACTTACGGCAATAACAGTACTAGCTGCAATCAGTGTGAAAGATCAGCACGAATCACAATCGTAGTAATCATCAAAACATAGTATCATAGTAATCCTTAAACCTGGAAGCCCGGACTTGTCAGAGTCGCCTGTTGTGCATCTTCTTGAGTAGCTCTTGCCCAAACGCCACACACTAGGTCTGTTATAAGGTTCTCATGGTGGACATGTCTGCACTGTATGAGGTACTGAGCGAGCCTGCAGTTTCTGCCCGAGGACTGAATGGCGTCGGGTTTGAGTTTCCGGTTCTATCCTTGTGACATGCCACAGACGAACATTTCTTTTTTCTCTTCTCGCCCTCCACAAGCAATCTTCTCAACGAGCCTAAACCCTAAACCCGAAACCTTCGCAAAAAACCCTAGCTAGACCCAAGAGTAACCTAGGATTGCAAAGGCTTGGCTTAAGGGGGCCTATACGCGAACCCAAACCCTAAACAGGAATAAGGGCCTGCTCTGGGTCCTAGCTGTAGACCTTGAACCCTACAAACCCTATACCTAAACCCTAAACCCTAAACCCTAAACCCTAAACCCTAAACCCTAAACCCTAAACCCTATGCACCGAAATCCAGGCCCTTACTGGATACTTTGCCCTCTGATCTTTGGAGGGCATCCCAGACGCAGGTGATCTTCGGGACTCTGGGCTCAAGCATCCCCAGCCACGACTACAATTTAGGGTTTAGGGTTTAGGGTTTAGGGTTTGGGGTTTAGGGTTTGGGGTTTGGGGTTTGGGGTTTAGGGTTTAGGGTTTAGGGGTTCGGGGTGCCACCTCACAGCACTCAGCCTCTGCCTCAACTCAGCACTCAGAACTCAGAGGTGTCTGGATTCCAGGCGCTAGGCCGCAGGGACGCGGAAGACAGCTCCTGGGATGGTACGAGCATCCGAGCCTAAACCCTAAACCCCTAAACCCCTAAACCCCTAAACCCCTAAACCCCTAAACCCCTAAACCCCTAAACCCCTAAACCCCTAAACCCCTAAACCCTAAACCCCTAAACCCTAAACCCTAAACCCTAAACCCTAAACCCTAAACCCAAGTCGCATGTCGAGGCTCCGTGGTATGTCCAGCCCCAGGATGGCAAGCGGCCGTAGCCTTCCCAGTCTTCACGCGAGTAGTAGGTCAGCTCCTGGCCAATGGTCTGTTTAAGGGTTTAGGGTTTAGGGGTTTAGGGTTTAGGGTTTAGGGTTTAGGGTTTAGGGTTTAGGGCTAGGGTTACCTGTGCGTGTTTGTATGGACTAAGAGCCTGTTGAGCTCAAGTGCTTTGCGTTGAGATGGTAGAGCTGATGTGTTGCACTGCGTCCCTTAAGCCCCAAGCCCGGGTTCCTCGCCTTCTGCAGCTTCGGTGCCTAGACCCCCAGCCCTTCCGCACTGAGCCCTAGGTCCCTTGCGACGCAGCTACAGTGATCCATCACCCTCATAGGGGTTTTAGGGTTCAGGTTAAGGGTTTACATTTGCCCTACTGTGGAGTAGAATGTGGAAAAAAGTATATGCCTTTTAGGTATGAGTATCTAGAATAGGAAGCAGAACCAAAAAAAGTATGAAATTAGGGAACCACAGCCACGCCTCTTTGCGCCACTCATGCACGACAGCTGTGTTTGGCAGATCGCAGGCCGCCGGCAGTGCGCGAAAGGCCTCGGCAGAAGGCCCGGTTCATAGGTGTCATGTAGGGTTTATTTTGGGGAATTATATTTAGGGGTTTTTTGGGGGGTTATTTAGGGGCTACTTAGGCATATAGGGACTATAGAAGGTATAGAACGGGGTTTTTTACGGGAAGAAGATTGAGGGTCTCTTCTAGGGGTCCCTCCTGTTTTCCCTTAAGCTTCAGGGTTTTGGGGCGCATGAGGGCTGTCTCCGCAGGCCCCGCAAGCATGCGAGGTGAGTCCGAAAGCAAAACCCCAAAATCCCAAAGCCCACGAAACCGCCGTCCGAAAGACCCATCAAAAACTCAGAACAAAACCTAAACCCCACAAAGGAACCCCCCCCCCCATGAAGCGCCCCGACAGTGAAAAAATGAACCCTAAACTCGAAACCCTGAACCCTAAGCCCTGAAACCTAAAACTTGAACCCTGAACCCTGAACCCTAAACCCTAAACATCCCTAAACCCTAAACCCCCCCCCCCCCTGCAACTAACCTTGAGCCGAGATGCCAAGCACTCTTTGGTGAAGCCAGGGCCTGGAGGGTCTGGGCCGGAGTCCTCCGCAGGGGTGACTTGTTTAGGGTTTAGGGTTTAGGGTTTAGGGTTTAGGGTTTAGGGTTTAGGGTTTAGGGTTTAGGGTTTAGGCGCAGCCCAGGAACCATGTCTTTTGTAAGGATTACACTGTTTTTTTTTTGTTTTTTTTTGGGGGGGGGGCGGGGGGTTAGTTACTTTATAAAGGAACCTTGGAACTGTAGTAAGGGTTGCCCTGTTTTTTTTTTTGGGGGGGGGGGGGGGGTGGGGGGGGGGGGGGGGGGGGTGGGGGGGGTGGGGGGGGGTGGGGGGGGGTTGTACTTCATTAAAAAAGCCCAGGAACCCTCTCTTTTCGCCACCCCTTTCGTAAGGGTTACCCTTGTTTTGGGTTAGTAAGGGTTACCCTGCTGTTGGGTTAGTTACTCAAGAAAAGAGAACCCAGAACCCAAAACAAAAGTCAAGGGTACCACTGGGCTGAAATGGAAAAGGGGGTTTAGGGCTTGGGTTTTTTGGGCTTTTGTCGGGTTTCGGGTCTTGGGAGGGCTGAGGATGTTGGGACGGGTTAGGGTGTTAGGAGGTTTTTGGGGTTGGTAGGGTTGGGGTTTAGGGCTGCTACGGCTTAAAGATAGGGTTTAGGGTGAGTAGAGCTTAGGGTTCAGGGTTGGTAGGGCTTAAGTTGTTGCGGTTTCTCTTTCTCAAGAGTACGTAACCCAGGAATAAAAGGGTGCCCTTTTCGTTTAACGAGGCTTCTAAATGCGAACAAGGGCCTCCTCCGGGTCCTAGCCCTGAATAGCCATAAACCCTAAAACCCTAAACCCTAAACCCTAAACCCCAAACCCTAAACCCCAAACCCTAAACCCTAAACCCTATAGACCCTAAACCTTGGCTCCTAGCCTAAAACACTTAGGTTTTTTGGGCTTTCTGTATTGGACCCTGCCGAGTCCGCGAGGCAGTAGCAGGCGAGCTCGCCCTTGCCTCGTGGAGTGGAGCTTAGGGGTTTGGGGGCTTACGGGCTTAGGGGCTTAGGGTTTAGGGTTAGGGTTTTAGGGTTTGGAGATTAGGGCTTTTGGGGCTTAGGTTGTAGGGTTTAAGGGCTTCGGGGCTTAGGGGATTTAGGGGTTTAGGGTTTGAGGGTTTCGCGGTTTCCGGTTTATACAGGGGTCAAGGCATAAAGGAGCTTTCAGGTATTGTTTGGTGTTGGCTTTAGTGCTCAGAGTTGTTCAGGTGTTGGAGTTTGGGGGCTTCGGGGGCTTCAGGTATTGATAGGATGTAGCTTAAGTATTTCGGGTTATTCAGGTGTGCTGTAGAGCTTAGGCTTGTTTCGGTTCTAGGGTGGCGAGTGTAGGGACTTGGGGTTTCAGGCAGTTCTTTTGAAATAATTTGAATTTCGAGTTGAGGGCCGATTCGTGTGAGAAGCTTCGGTTGACGACAAGCGGGGTTCTGAGTTGGGCACCCTCAGCCCTGGCCCTAAACCTTAAAAGCCCCCAAAATGTGTAGAGCCAAGGATCTACACTTGGGCAATGGGACAGTTTGGTTTGGGAGAGCTGCTTCCCCTGAGGAATGCTATGCTGGGGCGTCTTCCAAATTCACACAACCCCAAACGAAGACCCTAGGATCCCTAATCCCTAAACCCCATCATAAGCCCTAAACCCCTAAACCCCTAAACCCCTTAAAAAGCCAAGAAAGCACCTCTAAGCCCTGATAGGTTTCGAGCACATGTGGGCCAGGGTAGGGCAGAGCCCTTGTGTCCTTGGAACATGCCGAGGCTCGCCAGCACTGCACCGGCACGGTCTCGGCCAGACTGGCATCCGCTTCCTCACGGAGAAGGGTTTCAAGGTTTGGGGTTTGGGGCTTGGGGCTTAGGGCTTAGGGTTTAGGGTTTAGGGGTTTGGGTTTTAGGGCCTGCTTCCTCACAGGTTTGGGTGAGGGTATGGATAGTCTCCCTAAACCCTAAACCCTAAACCCTAAACCCTAAACCCTAAACCCTAAACCCTAAACCCTAGAACATTTAGTTGGGGATTGGGGTTCAGCCCTCAGAGCTGAGGTGTGCTTCGGGCTTCCAAGGTTCATCTTGCGACGTCTGCTAAACCCTACACCCTAAACCCTAAACCCTAAACCCTAAACCCTAAACCCTAAACCCTAAACCCTAAACCCTAAACCCTAAACCCTAAACCCTAAACCCTGAACCCTGAACCCTGAACCCTAAACCCTAAACCCTAAACCCCTAAATCCTAAACCCTAAACCCTGCTCGGTTTCTGGGAGGCATCGGAGCTTCACATGCTTGCTTTGGCAGGGTTCCGGATTTCCGTACTATGCATATGGCAAGATGCATCTCTAAGCGTACGGTTTCTTGGTAGCTAAGACGGTAGCTGCCCTACAACGCTGCTGAAGCTCATAACAGATTCTTAAAGTCCACGCAGGCGACTGACGGCGTCGAGCAACCTCTTCATAGTTAGACTTCAGCAACCCTCAATTCTCAATCATTACTGCGGCCCCTATAGCCCCTCAATCCTGAAAGGCAGCTTGCTACTCCGACCCTGAATGAACTACTACAATTTCGGGAACAGATCAAACAAACGTACCCTAAGATTGGAATCATTTGCCATATACTACTTGCCCGACAGTAACTCTGGGCAGATGGACCAAAAACTCTTCGCCAAAAACATGTACGGAAAATGTTGGTGCCCCAAGCTTCTGGCCAGCAATAGCACGCAATGCGCTCAAACGTCCAACCCCAGTCTGGCATCTGCGGGAAGCGCCGGTCCTCAGAAGTGGTGGAGTTCGTGGAGGTTCATGGTACTTATTAAGAAATTATAGCTGTACTTCTAACTGTACTTGTAACCATATTAGGGCACTTAAGGGGCTTATAAGTGGGTGATAAGTACAGATACAATTGGTTAATACCATGAACCTCCAAGGTCGTGTGCAGGTCTTCAGGTCAAGGTCGCCACGACCGCTGGGTGGGGACCCTGAGTCGAAACAGACCGACGAAAGCAAGTCAACCTAACTCCCTAAACCCTAAACCCTAAACCCTAAACCCTAAACCCTAAACCCTAAACCCTAAGCCCTAAAACCATTCCAAGGGTCCGAGAGTAGTAGCAAGTAAGTCATCTCCTCCTTCCGGAAAAGTGCCAGGGGCCTGACGAAAACTGCAGTCTTCGGAGTCTTCCAGCAGGAGACGAAGCCACCCTAAACCCTAAACCCTAAACCCTAAACCCTAAACCCTAAACCCTAAACCCTAAACCCTAAACCCTAAACCCTAAACCCTAAACCCTAAACCCTAAACCCTAAACCCTAAACCCTAAACCTTACCCTCGCAGAGCGCATCCTTAAAAGCCTTACAATCCCCAAGCACTATATTCTTGGTAGCCCAGGAACCATGACATGATAAGGGTACCCTTTTTGGGTCGGCGACTTTCTGAGGGAACCTTGGAGCAAAAAAAGGGCAAAAGGGGTCCTACCCGGCTACCAAGAGTATACTATGATTCCCCCATTTGGGCACCTGTGACCGTGTACTATAGGGGCCTGAATAATTTGAACAAGTTTATTTTCATTTTTCTGGTGGGGGGGGGGGGGGTGTTTATAGTATAAATATAAAAGGGTTCATAAGGGAATACTACATAAGGGAATACTACTAGTATTTTTACTTTTATTAATGTTAGCATTTGTATTAGTTTTTAATATTTATTAATATCCATTAGTAATCATTCCGATCTGCCCTTTTTTTGGTGTTCATTTAGTCCTGCCCAGCTTTGTTGTTGTTGTTGCTGTTGCTGTTGCTGTTGCTGTTGCTGTTGCTGTTGCTGTTGCTGTTGCTGTTGCTGTTGCTGTTGCTGTTGTTGTTGTTGTTGTTGTTGTTGTTGTTGTTGTTGTTGTTGTTGTTGTTGTTGTTGTTGTTGTTGCTGCTTGCGGAAGGGGCAATAGCGCTATCAGTGACGCTTAGCGGAGGTGCGCTGTTTGCTAGTTGAAAACTACTCCAATTCCCGTCAAGTTTGATCGTCAAGGTCATTCTTGCAATTTTTATAAGATTCTGGCCCAAGATGAGGATTTTACTTCTCGTAGCCGTAGCGAGCTTTCTTGGGTGCCTGGGTCCCAAGTCCCAGGGTCCAGCCATGGATCAGAATCGAGGGTTTCGGGAAGTAGCGCCCCCCGATGAAGCTGAGCAGCATGCGCAGCGAAGTCAGCTAACCATGAACAAAACCGGCAAGCGAAGCTACCAAAGAGCTTGTAAAGTTGCCCTGGCGAAGGGAGCAGCACTTTACAAAGGCCGTCTTCTGACAGCTCAGGCTCTAGGAGCTCATAAAGGACAATTCGCGTCTCCTGCGAAAGCGGAGAGGCGTTCTTTTCAACCGAACAGACAGATCCATCACAAATTTGACATGGAAGTCCTTACTTGGAACGCAGGCTCAATTACAAGTCGAGTTTGGAACGAGATTCTGGCCCTTTTGGCAACAACAGAGTACAAGAACATCAAAATCGTTTTCCTGCAGGAATCGCATTGGCAGCAGGACCAGGTCTACAGCTCAGGCCCGTGGTCAGTCCTAACCTGTGGCTCAACAAGCAGACACAAGGCTGGCCTGGTTGTCTTGGTGCATAGCTCACTGGCTCCTCTTTCAGAAATTCGCAGCACTTCCATTGTTCCAGGGCATTTGCAGCACGTCATGATCCCGTGGCAGAGATCCAGAATACATCTCCTGAACCTGTACCAGCACGTCTGGGATTCAAAGCTCTCGAAGACGGAAAACAGAGGCAGGAGAAAGGACGTGATGACTCAGCTCGAAAATCGAATACAGAGAGTCCCACAACGTGACTTCTTGATTGTGGCTGGGGATTTCAATGCGCATGCGGTGACTGAACGTCCTCATATCGGACCAAGTGTGCCTCATCGAGTACGGTTTGCAAATGCGGATGTGAAGACACTGCCCTCGCTCTGCAAATCCTGTGGACTAACTGCGCTGAACACATGGGCTTCTGGCCATCGCAGTACGTATGCTAACAGTGATGGCACATATTCCTCTCAGATCGATTTTTTGCTGGTCAGACTGCACGATGCTCGGAGGAGATCCAAGGAGGCCTACTCGGATAAGAACTTTCCTGTGGCTGCTTACAGAGATGGATCAAAACACTTTCCAGTGCGAGCCACTCTGTTCATTCCTCCTTACAGTCCTACACCCAGCAAGCCACGGCCGTTTGATGCCACAGCCCTGGATGCGAGCTTTCGGCGGAAAGATGCCAACTGGCAGGCATACTCACATCGTCTGACGGAAGCAGTGGTGAGGACAATGCAAGTGAGACCGTCTTGGCAAGAACTGGATGAAGTGATGGTTAGTGTATCAGCTGAGCACTATCCTCCTCCACGCAAGTCTCAGCCAGTAGCAGGTCCTATTCATCAGGAATACTGGAAGAAAGTGCGGCAAATCCAGGCGCACAAGAGGGCTGGAACCGAGCATAATTCTGAATGCCAGAAGCTTGTGGAGGACATCAAGGAGGAGGCGCGGACTTTCAAAAAACAGCAAAAACAAAGAAAGCTAGAGAAGCAAGAGCAGTTGCTTCTACAAGCCCAGGAAGATAAAAGGCAACAATCCCACAAACTGGCTCATACTCTCAGGAAACTTGCTCCGTGGCGCCCAGTGCAGAGAGTCAACCTAAGGGATCAAGCAGGTGAGCCGCTTGATACGGAGGCCTCACTAAAAACAATGCGCGAATACTCTAGTCAAATCTTCTCCAAAAGTTCTCCTTTGCACTCAGTAGCTGCTGTGCCCAGAGCAGCGATCACCGCCTTGCAGGTATCCTCACAAATCAAGACAGTGCCAGTGGGGAAAGCAGTCCCCAGCACCTCAGCCCCAGTATCAGCTTGGAAGAGTCTAGGTCCTGAAGCCCACGAACACATAGCAGGTCTAATCAACTCTGAGGTGTCCCATTCTGAAATTTCCCCTTATCTAAAGGACCCTCGCATTGCATGGATCCCCAAGCCGGGCAAGCCAGCCACCGCCATGAAAAACCTGAGGCCCATAGGAGTCATCAGCGTGCCAGGCAAAGTGCTAGCAGGCGCAGTGAAGACTCGCATTGCACCAGCACTGCAGGAGAGCTCACAACTTCAGCCTCAATTTGCGTACATTAGGCAGAGGGGGGTGCGGGACGCCATCGCGAAAGCATGTCAGCACCTTGATTTCCTGCAGCAGCTCCGTCAAGTGCATCGCAGGGACCTGCACAAGTCCCAACGCGGAGCCAGGCAGGCTCAGCTGTCAGGGGCACTTACTATTTCGGTTGATCTGAGCAAAGCTTTTGATTCTGTTAATAGACATGAGCTGCTAGCTGCCTTGGATCGCCTGGGAACAGACCCTGTTACGAAAGAACTGGTAGTTCAACTACACAGTGAGACCTCCTACAACATGGGCACAAGTGGACTAGAGATTCAAGTTCCCACTTCTTCAGGAATCAAACAAGGTTGCAAGCTAGCCCCGGCATTGTGGTCTGCGCTGACACTTCTAGTCATGAGCAGAATGGAGCAGAAATGGGGCCCAGATAGCAAGCAAGCTAGGGACATCCTAACAGTCTTTGCAGACGATTTCCTGCTCCAGGAAACCTTCTCGAGCTTTCCTGAACTTCAGAAAGTCCTGCTCAGAATAGAGGCTCTCTTTCAGTCTCTTGAGGACGTGGGGCTGGAAGTCAATCCAACGAAGTCCAAAGCCTTGCTAATGGTTCAGGGCACTCAGCAGTCCATCTTTCGCAAGAAGCACACGATGCGCAAAGAGAAGCAGTTGCACATCGTCCTTCCCTCAGGACATAAGATTCCGATTCATCACAAACTAACATATCTAGGGGTGCAGCTCAGCTATGGATCCTACAAAGACCAGACGGTTGACTATAGGATCGCCCAAGCTCAAGGCAAGTTTGAGCTACTTCGACACATCCTGTGCTCCACTAAGGCCTTGGAGGCTTCAAAGAAGTTGGAGATCTGGAGGGTCTATGTGGAATCCTCACTCTTGCATGGGCTTGTGGCCACTGGCATCACCTCATCAGGTCTTCAGAAGCTTCAGAGTAAATACTCGAGGATGCTAAGATCCATCTTTAAGCAACATCAGCACTACAGCCATATTGACACGAAGACTCTGTTCGAGCAATATAAGGTTCAGACTCCTCAAGCAGTTTTGATCAGCCAGATGAAAAACTATCAAGACGCACTAGATGCCTGTCAGAAGTCCAACCCGGATCAGAACATACAGTGGCATCTGGGACTTAGAGGTAGGATTGTTGCGCTGCAACAGGAGCTTCAGAGCATGCATTTGGACCTGATCGAGGCAGACCAGGAGGTACCGTGCTCTCTGTGCGATCGGAAATTTTCCAGCGCTAAGGGTCTTCAGCAACATACTCTGGTGAAGCATGGAGGACAGCGTGCGAATCAGCTAGGCCCAAAATTTCAGGTCACTGTGCATAGCTGCAAAGGACTTCCGCAATGTGCGGCATGCAACAGGCAGTTGCGCACAATGCATCAACTTCGCAGACATGTGGAGTCAGGCATTTGCCCTCAGCTGCACGAGCTGAAAGAACGAGCCAAATCCTGTACAAGCTCAGAAAGCATAGCTATGATCTATCAGTCTAGCGTGCAGGAACAACTTAAGAAGGATCCTGATCTTCTACTAAAAAAGAGACATGTCACTCAGCATCTATTAACGAACTGCAGTCTCTGTGGGCAATACATTGTTGGCCACAAAGGAGTGAAACAGCACATTCAGAAAGCTCATCCCGCTTTCTGGGCACAATCCTCGGCATCCATTCTTGCCAACATGCGAACACATAAGCGCCTCCTGCACAAAAAAGAAGAATGTAGGTATTGTCGCATTGTGGTAGATGCTCCAGTACGCCATGCAGAGCAATGTGTGGTTCTGCTTCAGACATACGCCATGAGTGCAGCTTGTGCCAAGCCTATGGAACTGCCAGATCTCTTCAGTGCAGATCCTCCAATTAGCCAGGTGAGAGGAAGGGAGGCTTCCTCCCAGGAGGCTTCCTCCACCAGTAGGATTCGGTCTCATCAGGCACCAGCAAGCTCCCAGCGAGACGCACCAGCAGAGGGGAGACCTTCGTCAGTGCCCGTCACAGCCTGGTCTCTGGCCTATCATAATCCGCATCAACTGTGCTATGCACACACAGTAGTGCATATCCTTGCCTCGCTTGCATCAGAGGGTATTCTTTCTGATCCATATCTGAGACAAATATTGACGGAAATTGACGCAGTAGGGGGTCGTTCTTCTAGTGTGGATGTTCGTAGGCTGCGACAGCTACGTCCTCTGCTGACGGGATGGCGATTCAGACCCAGGCAAGAAGATGCATCCCAGTTTCTAGCACATATCATTCAGAGATCCCATGTGCTTTCAGCAGATGTTTGGGAAGCGAGGGTTCAAATCACAGCACCCGTGGAAAGAATCAGCGTAGAGGATAGAGGGGGTTTGATTCTTTTCTTGCCTGACCCACCAGATGGCCTCTCCACACTACAGCAAGCCATTTCTCAGTGGGCGCACAGGGGGAGCACCTATGGGCTACTCCCGGGAGTGAACCTGGTTTGCATTCAGATCCAAAGGTTTGAGCACTTGGAGAAAACAAATCGGCCTCAAGTTTTAGACACAACTCTGGAGCTT